TCCCCCCGCGTTGTTCTCGTCTCAGTCCGCCACCTGCGGCAACACTCAGCACACGTCCCACCCTCCTGCTGACACGCGGCTCGGTGCAGCCTGCTGTGCTCCCAGTCCCACGTGTTTCCAGCCCTTGCCACGTGGCACGGTGATCGTCGGCTCACCCACGCCCCTGCCTGTACGCCGACTTCGCTCTTTCCTGCTTCTAGATAGTTTTGTAGGTTTTGTCGTTGTTTTACAGAGATTTTTGCTATAGGGCGCATGCGCTCACCAGAGACAGCAAAAATCACGCCACAGTCCTCCTCCTCCATCCTCCTCTCCGGATTTCAGGCACACAGGTTCGTGCACCCGGCGTGAGTTTCCAGCCACCGGGTCCAGGCCTGGAGCTGTGGCCATCCACGCGGGAGTCCAGTGACGCAGCCAGTGTGCCGTCTGCTGGCCCCGTGGTTTCGTACGGATGTGTCTGTGTCCTGGCCATGGCTGGGCCCTGAGCGTGTCTACGTTGCGTAAACGGCTTCGAACCTCGTTCTGCCCGTGCTTTCCTACACTAGACCGTGTTGTCAGACTTTCCTTTTAAACTGTGGTTCCTCACTTCAGACTACTTCCCTTCAACGTGTCTGTTTAGGCGTCTGTGTCCTAGAGACACCGGGGACGCGGGGCGTGTGCCGACTGGCGTAAGCGGTACGGTGCCCTGAACCCATCCTCCGTCGGGTTTCAGCCTCGTCGCCCTCCCCAGGCAGCCCGTTCCTCGCCCCCACCACCAGCTCTCCCACCAGCACGGGCTCAGAGGAGGGGGGTGTCCCGCTGTGGCGCCTGCTCCCGGTCACCTGTCTCAGGCCAGCATTCATCGCCTGCTCGCCTGTGCTGGGCGCCGCGCCCAGTCCTCCCTGCGCCACCCGTGGAACAGCTCAGAAGCGAGTGTTCTCACGATCAGAGGCACAGAGGGCTTAGGGAATGAGCCCAGGTCACACAGCTCCTGTGGAAGGGCGCTTGGACTCACACCCTGGCCGTGGGACCCAGAGACAGCCCCTTCCCCTCAGGGCCATTCTCCAAGCGTGGGAGGTTTCTCACGGGTGGGGTGGTGGGCTGGGCGCAGCCTCCCCTCACTCAGCAGATACCCCGCACTTCCTGTGTGCCAGCTCCGCTCTAGGCCCTGGGGCCCGGGATAAATAAGACAGAAGTTCCAGCCCTGAAGGGGCCGACACCCTGGTGGGGAGACAGGCGGTAAGGAGCTTACGTGACACACACAGCATGTTGGTGATCAAACGGGGCGTGGGCCGGGTCCCGGAGACTGTCGGCGTGTGCTGGGCCTCACTGTCAGGTCGAATGTTCAGGCTGGGGCTCACGGCAGTGGGGAGAGGCGAGTCACCTCCCGACAAGTAGCAAGGACGACGTCTTGGTTTGGTGCCGCTGAGGCAGCTAGTATCTCTGCGTACAGGGGGAGAGAGACAGACCGTCAGCTCCTGGGCTTCCACAGGCAGTTTTTAAGTTTCTTTTGAGAGAGGCACAGAGAGAAAAGGCATCCCCAACAGTATTGTCACCACGGCTCCCCCCCCCCCCGCAGGCCCCGCCCCGGACCTGGTTTTACCAT